ACTGATGATGACAGGGCTTCTTTTGAAGATGGTCAAGGTTCTGATGAAGAGAGCTGGAACTGGTTCATCAAGTTCACATCGCAACATTTGAGACCCTCAAACAGCATTGAGCTGCTTTTGCTGTCAGAATGGAACAGATCATGGCCCCCCAACCAGCCATACTATCTTCAACAACTTGGTCACTCGGTACTCCAGAGACTCCCGGGCTTTGGGTTGTCGCCCGACATATATCACTCAGTTGCAGATTTTGAAGCTGATGCACTACAGAGGGCCACAGACATTGCCCGTGGCAAAGTTTTCATGTGGGAAGAACAAGAAGCTTGGATTATCAGACACATAATAGCGGTGGAATTACAAAGCAAACCTTGATCCCCGTCCAGGCATGGGCGCCTACCCCCTTTGTATCCTGCAATAATCAACTTCCGGAGGGGATCTTTGGTTTGCCTTGCGGCCGCAACAGGGGCCTGAGATTTTTTCTGGCAGCTGATCCCTGCTCCCAGGTCTTCAAGCTCGTGCCTTGCATGTGCCCTAGTCCTGAGCTGACGCTACCATATTCTTCTTGAGTTCACTAGTTAGTCAAGAAACAATGTGCTTCACAAGGCCTTGGGTGGTGAGGAAGACTCTCAAAGTCACAGCTGAAGCAGCACAGCGGCACTAATAGTCTGGAAAATTGGTGGTTTTATTTAAGAGACTTAGTTCAAGCTGTTTGATCCTGTATAATTTAATTGCTTGTTCATCCATTTCTATGTTGTCTATAACCTATAATATTTAAAATATGTTTTGGATCGGCAAAATGTCCAAAGTCATAATTGGCCACACAGTCATTCTGATTCCAGACCTGTATAACACACATTTTGGAAACCCCGTGCTCAAATAAGTTCCCATATTAGGGATGACTAGTGATTATAGCACTGACTCCTGGATCTTCTACCAGCACCAGCCACGGGCCCGCATGCCTCCTGGTCACTCTTTGTCATCTCTTGGGGGCTTTTGGCTTGTAGCTGCCTGTGTTTCCATATTTCTCCTTGACCTTCATTTTGTCTTGATCTTTGTTTCCAGGACAGGCATATTAAGGATATTCTTGGATGAGTTCAACATGGGTAAATGCCTACATCAAACACTGTATCATTCCTTGCATGCTCTTCCTCTTGTGCTTCCCTGCCACCCACCATATGTCAACTCTGCCATTAACCAACTTACTGTTGCTGTAGCACCAGCTTTTCAGCTATGTTCCTCCGGTGGAACAGGGTTACCAGAGGGCATGCGACTGCAGAGGAGATCAAGACTATAATCAAGCTGCTTATTTTCCTGACGAAGTTGCTGATTTTCCTTGTGAAGTTGCTCATTTTCCTGACGCAGGCGCTGAATTTCTTCGCGTAGCTAGTATAAATGAGTCAGATTGAGACTATATATGGACAAAGATATCCACAAACCTGAGCACATGGACAATAAGTACCCCAACTAGGGCGAGAGTAATTGAGCAGTGCAATAGAGTATCAGTAGAAGCAGCCGACGCCTGATGACTGGGCTGAAAAGCCAAAGGCAGGGAATGAAAAAAGGATACAGTAGCCCAGCGAGCCTTTTAAACTTCTTTCTGCATTTTGGGCAATGGTACATCCTCTGACTGTGCGCGGGCGAGTTGATATGCGCATTCAGAGCACCTTTTGTCCCAAATTCGGCGTGACATAGATAGCACTCCCAGAAGAAACCATTGTATGCGAGGTCTGTGGCTAGGTATTTCGACACATCCTCCTTGTACCATTCAATCTGTTTGTCGGTAATGATGTGATGTGGGTCACGTTGTTGTATAGCATGGAGGATGGAAGTATGATTCACCCCTTTGGCGCAGCGACAAGAACCCAGTTCAAGGTGATGAGTAACGCTGCTTGCTGAAGTGTACTTCTTGCCGCAGATATGGCAGGGGACACTGGCACCGCGGTGGATTCTGGAGTTAAGATGCTATATCACTCATAAATAGCTGGCATATAAACTGTTGACATAGGTACCTTACCATTCACAGATTGTTTCCATTCTGAAACAAGAGACGACAATTCTTGCAGTAGTTCTTCTGGTGGCCAAGGTCTCTCATATGCTGGTTGGCGGCATTCTGTGTGTGGAACTTTTTGCCACATACATCGCATGGGACCTTGGGTTCTTGATGCCCAAGAGCATCCATGTGCTGTTCACAAGCACGCTGAGTTTTGAATGGATGTGAACATGTCTCGCACTCAAACTCTGGCAACCAGTGATCTGTGTTGTTCATATGCTGTTCACAGGCACACTGGGTGTTGAAATGGTGTGAACAGTTCTCACATTCATAAATAAGCATGATGAGCAGTGAAATGAGCATTGATTGGAATGGGAGAATGACAGACTGGAATAAATTGCAAAGTAGAAGGTATGACACAGCACTAATAGAAGGGTGACAGGACATGTCATGTGATGAGCTGTCCTGCTCTGATATCGGATCAATCATTCCCTGCCACCTGCTCTCTTCTTTGCATATGGCAGGTTTCTGTCATTATTCTTGTTTCCTGTGGTTCATAATTTGATGTCTTCTTGAGGCACCGGAGTCCCCAACAATAAACAGATTTCCTAGCTGAGGCTGAAGATAAGATGGAGGCAGAAGCTACCCGGAGTCAAAGGCTACCCGGGGGTAGAAGATGCCCGGAGGTAGAAGCTACCTAGAGGCAGAAGCTAAAATACAAAAATAGATTGTCCGAAGCGCACTTCTGCATTTTGCAGGTCAGGCATTAGCTTATCTCGACCACCATCTGCATAGCTGCATTCCAAGAGCGGCTGGGTCGGATGTTAAATTGTGAAGAAAGGCAGGAGGACAAGCTCTCTTGTCTTTCACCACTCAGGGCCTGTGTGATGGATGTCATATCGCTTCATCAACATCCAGCATCTCACTAAACGCCCCCAGGGAAGAGGAGATGTTCATCTCAGCATAAAAAAGGTTAATAGAATGCACTCCAGAAACATGGATGCAATGTTTTGCAGTGGGAAGGAAAAATGGCTCAAAGGTAGGTTGCAACACAGAAATTGGAGTGCAACACAGAAACAAAATATGAGATAGACCAAGTTCCCCTGGCTGCAATCAATCCCATGCCTGCCCAAGAGCATCTTGAGCGAGTTTGCCCTTCCACAGTGGCTATCCTGTGTCTTGATCCTGGTCATCTTTGCACAGCAATTCAATCACCCTCCCACCATCAAAAGCGAGTTACCTGGAATGCAGCTACTCCCACCTACGCTCCAAGTCAGAGGGGGCTTTACTTTTCCAACTTGGGATTTAGGTGTTCTAAAATTAGATCACCTGGAAAAGCGTGGCCTCAGTTCTACAAAATGTGGCCCGTCCTCCAAAATGCAGAAATGCAGAAATGCAGAAGTGTCGAAGTATAGGAGTACACAAGTAGAGAAATATAAATATCAAAACATCCCCCAGCAAGGCAGCGAAAGAAACCAAAATCGGCTCCACACCAAAATTAGAACTGCTAGGAGCCCAAACAGGCCTCCATACCCTCCTGCATACAGTATAAATTCTATGCACTCTGCTGAAGAGCCTTCTTCCACCAAAACCTCACAATGCGTACAGACCGCCAGACACCACCTCAAATTACTCAAAGATGAAAACGATCACCAGCCCAGCGGCACCAATCAAATTTTCGACAGAAACAATGCCGACGGAGGAAGAGTCTCTTTCAGAAAACTGTTGAATATGCTGATGAGAATGAGGCACAAGTCTACATATTAATTGACATCAGAGATCAATATTTCATCTTAAACACCAATTCAAGTGGCACTTGGCCACCGCCAGAAGAGCACATAGTATGTACCCTGGTTCTGGCCTATATACTCCCGACTAACAGTGAACAGGAGAAGCACTATCCTTTCACAGCTCAAAAAAAAAGTTGAAGATTATCAAACATCAACCAAAAAGAAACTTGGGCAGAGAGAAACCCTCTTCAGAAAGAGTGCAGAATACAGCAATAAATGTGGAGCTGATGTCTATATCATTGTCTATGTGAACAATCAGTACTTCACCTTATACACAAATGGGAATCAGCCACTATCAGCTGAGCAAATAGTACATTCTCCAGTCCCAGAGTGGATGCTTTGGCTGACATCAACAGGCCCATCAGTATCCTCTTCCACTTCACATATCACCTGAGGATTGTCGAAGAGCAAAAGGGAAGACAGCAGGGCACTTCAGGAATATTGATATTGTGAATTAACAGAGCTTGGGATATAATAGTCAAACCAATAAAATGCAACAGAATCTTTATCCTCTAGTTTTCAAGCAATACTGGCATCTGTGGCTTCACTCTTGATATCTTTGTTGTCACTAGGTCAAGCATTCCTTAAAAGCTTCTAAGTAGAGTAATGGCAACCATGGGCTAACCACAGCATAATGACTGTCGTTTGCTCTGATTCTTCCTGCTTAAGGTCTAAAAAAAGAAATCGTGTGGGCGTTGAGGACGCTGAGCCCGTCAACCATATGGCCCTGTCGACCGTGTGGGCGTCAAGGACAGCGGGCCCGTCGACCATATGGCCCTATCGACCTCCTGGGCGTCAAGGACACCGGGCTGCTCAAACAGATGGTTGTTTGACCCCGTGTGCTCGAGGCCAAGCGGCCTTTTCTGCCATATGGCTATTATAACCTCTCTCCCCCATCCCATGCTGCTCACCCCCTCTAGTAGTTAGGACCAGATGGTGACCGACCGGAGGTACTTGTCACAATGTCGCGTCCCCCGAGGTGCAGAAGTGTCCCCAGAAATCGCGTCCCCCCACCATGTTGATTGACATGTACAGCAGCGACGAATCATTTGTCATGACTTCGGGAAATGGACGGGTCCGTGATGCTTGGCAGCATGGGTGGAGAAGGCTGGGTCCAACAGCCTGTGCAGCTCTCCAATCACATTCATCCTCCGCATCACACCAAGGCGGCTACAAGCTCGACAATTGGCAAGAATCGCAGTTATAAACTGTTTGGAATCCTTCCAGGACAAGATCTGATGGCTCTCTGCATTGTTATCTTCAATCTCACGTAAAATCCTTCTGCTTCTGATCCATCTAGTTCTCTACTCGATACACCAAGGAGCAACCATTATGGCCCGTGCATTCTCTTCAACCGCTCGGACCCTTGTGAGATGGTTGGGCTATGATAAGGAGCTTCTCACGCCGGAGTTCCGGCAGGCGGTAGATCATTATGCGGCCAATGGTGCCGTCAAGGTACGCAACATCCTAGAACGATAATGAAATTCTGTACTCTAAACCTCTCTTAGAAAGTCGGCGAAATCGAATCTATTGAGATTTTGTCAGTACTCCTATATCTCTTTCCTTTGCCTAGCCTATTAGGACGTGCTACTTACGACTGTTCACATAGGCACCGCAACGACAGCAGTAGCCCTATCCATCGATCTCATTACAACCCTAAAGATAAAGAGCTGATTATCAGCGCTCGAGTCAAGCCTACCAATGGGCCGGCTCGAACCCATCACATCTATGCGAACGGTACTGGCACCATCAGAGTTGGCGATAAACGCGAGTATTCGACGTCGGCCACACAGGGAGGACCCGTGGACATGGCTGCTGAAGAGGGACCTCGGGAATAGAACTTGGTTTGCAGGGGATAAGTTTGTTGCCGGCTTTATCGGGATGCTGCTCGTAGGCTCTTCTATCGTTCTTCTTGCTTTGATGGCTTATGTGACTAGGTCTTAAATTCAAAATCAGATACTAGTATTTCCACATCATTTGGGTTTCTTTCACCTTCTGATCCCTCACTGAATAAACCAAGTCACAGGTTCTCAAGAGATCCGAGATGGCGGCTCAGATTTGTGATGAAGGCTGAACCAAGGCCGGCATTTTCCTTTTCATGAATGCGCACGGATCCATTCATCTTGCATAAGTTCCTTCGCAGAGCTTCGCTTGCCCGGTTCCCACTGAACCATTTTCCGCATCAGACACAGAAACTTCTCCCTGTCCTCCTGTTGTTCCTTGAGAGCAGTTTCTCTCTCTTCGAGTGGAACTGGATCTTGCAAAGGAATTCCGGCACAAAATTCGCCTAAATAAGTTAGACAGAACACAGAAAAGTTGAGAAGGGTGAAAAGGGATGTAAGTAGCAATGAAAAGTGGAGAGGGGAAAAGCAGTTTGCCTACCTTCCTCTGAAAAGAATTTGCTCGTCAGCCTACCCTGAGCAAGGAGGTTAGGCGGCGGTGGCCCAAGAAGACCAATCATCTCAGCTAGATGTGCTCTACTTCGGTAGGTCTGGAGTTCCGGATCATGTCCAGTAAACAGAAACTCGCCTTCGAACATATCCCACACCACACAGCCTGCGTTCCATATATCAACGCTGTATGACCATGGAATCTCGAGGATCACCTCTGGCGCTCGATAGAAGTTTGGTTGGATATCTTCCAAATGCTCATCAACATCTCCAGGCATGGCTGACCCAAAATCGCATAACACAGGGGGGGCAAAGTTCTTTGGCATTGTGAGTTGGCGGGACTCGTAGATGATGCGACCATCATCTAGTTCTTTCCGTGGACAGGGTGTTTGAAGCTCGCTTTCCTCAAAATGAGTGAAAACCGAATCATCAGCAATGCCGAGCATGATGTTATCGGATTTGATGTCACCGTGGATAATCTTGCATTCGGAATGCAAATAGTCCAGTGCTAGAAGGAGATACTTTAGTACAGTTGCCATGACTGGAACGGGCAGCCTGTGAATTGGGTTGCGGCGAAGAAAGGTCAAGACGCTCTCCCATAGGGGAGGATGTACAAGGCATCTGTGTTTATCTGTGGGCCCATTAACATCAAAAGAGTCGAGAAGCATCCGCACAGCTTTGCGACCAGGATGAGATTTCGAGCCTCGCTCCAGGCGTTTGTACATATTGAGCTCGCCATCCAATTGCTGGCCCATGGATGTAGATGTAATGAATATCTTGAGGGTAACATAATTGCGGCGGCTGAAGATGGTTTTAGTTCAGGCATTTAACACAATTTTATGGAGATCGGATCTTACTTCATGTCCCGCGCAAGCCACACTGTCGAAGTTGCTCCATATCCGAGTTTACCAACGACTTGGTATCTCTCATTGAAGACCTCCCCAATGCGAACGGGATAGTACCGCGCGGCGACGTAACCTGGGATTGTCTCTTCTTCGATTTTTTGAGCCAGTGGTATCCGGGGAAAGTTCAAATTGGAAAAGCTTAGGGGCTTCCATCGTCCGAACCGGGGTAGGAAATGTAAAAGCGAGGGAAGCATCGATACAAATGCAGTAAAATCAAAGATGACACGACTGATACAGATTCAAAGAGGTGATGGCGTTGGATTTGATGTCGGTGATGTTAGTTGGCAAACCTCGTGGGTTGGGTGAGCGCTTAGACCTTCATTACTGCTTAATAAGCAGCGCCTAGTGCTAACTAGGCGGTTAGATGGGGGGGGGTTTAGTGTGGGTGATCACGTGCGTGCGCCGAACGTCTATAAAAGGCGAGCTTGCGCCGTCCGTCCTGCCCCGTCCCCCACCCCGCGCCGCCCCGACCGCCGCCCCCTTCCCCCGCCCCCCCCTCGCTCGCGTCCTCCCTCCCTCCCTCTCCCGGACCTCGTGAAACCGCGGCTCGCTTGGGAAGAGGAGACATCGCAGGAACCGGCCGTCCATGCTGCACGCCGGGGGACTTCGTGTCCTGGTGATGACACCCCATTGGCGGCCGAGACAGAGGTGAAGGGGGGACATGACGCCATTCAGGACGTGTCACCATTGACAGATCTAGGGAACATAATCTTGTATCAGCAGAAAGGAGGCGCGGTTGATGGAGATGATGAAGACGGGCGAATCCAGTGCATTGTGCCTCCCCCGGCCATGGTCCGGTTTGTGGACAGCACCAGGCCTCAGCTGAGACCTTGTGTATGGGCGCCGGAAATCCTGTTGGAGTTGGAAGTGGTGATGCGCTGATGTTGTTTGTCTAGACTGCACTGCGCCGCGAAGACGGCACCTGCTTCCAGTACAACAGCAACTCAAACAGACTGCACTGGAAGCAACAATGCGCATATGAACCTCCCCGCCACCTAACAACATGGTTGTGCCTGGAGATGGCAACAGACCAAGTGATATGCAAAGTCCCCTTGACTGTTTCTCAAGCATCCTAGAACACAAGTACAATGTACAGCTCAACTGACTTGAGAAGCGCCAACCACATGTTGTGCCGCCATGGTGGACTCCCCCATTTATCTGCATAAAGGATTCGGTGGAGGACGCAATCAAAGAACACAATGCCATAGAACTGGCAACAACCATGTGGGAGCAGCTGCAGTGGCGCCTTCGCTCCAGGCTAATGGCAGCTACACAAAACGGACTCAATACATGGGCCCATCCAGCACCTCCACAGTGTATGCGGTGGAACTCAGGGGCCTAGTGCTAGCCCTGGAAATCATACTCGACCTCCATGCAACCGGCACTACCCCTAGGAAATGTGCTATCTTTACCAACAACCAGGCTGCCATCCAAGCGATTTGGAACCCCAAGCATTCATCAGGTAAATACATCCTCATTGAGGCTGTACAAGCACTTGATATGCTCCAGAACCTCGGGTGGGAAGTGCAATTCCAGTGGATCCCAGCACATGTTGGGGTGCTGGGTAATGAGGAAGCAGACCGAATGGCAAAGGAGGCCACTGGTGTGGACCCAGGAATAAACATCAAACAGCTCCTAGAAACAGACCCTTTGTGGATTCTAACAGCAACCACAAAATCCACCATCCGCCAAAGGATGAAACACAAATGGGAGACATCCTGGGAAAAATGCCAAATACAGCAGAGACCTCTTCCAACTTGGGATCTGGCCAGGAAAAGCAATATTCAACACACATAGTGGAACACAGAGAGCAATCAGTTCAGCAATCACACAGATGCACACAGGAAAGATTGGCCTATGTACCTACCTCTATTCCATCAACAAGGCCAATACCAACAAGTGCCAATGTGGGTATGGACCACAGACCATGCGACACATCCTCCTGGAATGCCGAAACTGGGCAGTCAAATGACAACAAATGTGGGCAGGCAAACCTCCATGTGTGAACATCAAACACATTCTCTGCAGTTCATCAATGGCAGTACAAGCAGCAAAGATGATCCTAAGAACAGGGCTCCTGGGGCAATTCCAGGCAGTCCCTTCAACAGTACTCTAATATAACTAGCATTTGAGTGATTATAAGTAAACAGAAGTTGAGGAAGGCCAGAAAAGGCCTAACAAGGCAGAGACACAGAACAGCCAAGATAACTTTGGTAGAGGGATGTGAATTCAAGTAGAAAAAGAAGCACCTTCATGCAGGAATGACCTGTTTGAACCCCGGGAATATTTCCTGCAGGAAGAGCTTAGTTTCTGGCCAAAACACCTGTATCTAGAGTTGTACGCTGCATAGCTGCCTGAGGGCGGCCGGGACAGTCTATGAATAAATCAATCAATCAATCAATCAACGGTCCTAGTCTATGCCATTGCCCTGGCTTATGCCGTTGCTAAGCGTCTTAACCCAACTTGTTTAATTCTAGATATCCTTTTTCTGGCTTGTGCCAACATCTTCCTGCCTTTTTTGAGGCCCTTCAGTTCCAAAAATGACCTTCATTTTCAGAAATAGTGAGACTGGATGAGGGTGGTCAGTCCCGGACCAAAAGTGGCTCCATAACCTACCCCATCATGACTGGCAGTTCTAGTCAGTCATCTCTTTTCACACCCTCTCAATGTTGCCCATTTGGTCTGCTTAACAATGAGCTATTACTCCTGATAACAGTAAGTCTTGGCAAGAATTTGATTCCTCAATAAATTGTTCAGGCTAATATCTTGGCAGTGGGGCGACAAAACAATCAAGACATGTGATTTGGTGAAGCCAATTTCGAGCGCCTCTGTACAGAGTAGTCTTGGACAGTTCACTAATACATGATAGACTGATTCTTTTGCTCTGCACTCGCATTTGTTGCATCACTGTCTTTCATTTAAAGTCAATATTCACTCAGCCACAAGTGGTCTGTTCTGAGCTGTGCTAGAAGTGCTCAATCTTGGAGAGGCTTTTGAGTCTCAGGTCTAATGTTCTCTTTCTTCACATATAATGCAAGTCCCTGTTCTGAATTTATGTCATTTGAATCAATGTGACATAGCTGAATGGGATGTTACAACCAACCCACTTCTGTGCTGATTGGCCTACTAAAGGTCAGTGTGCTTGTTCATAACATAAAGTAGTTGTTACTGATCATGTCTTTTGATATTCAATAGAGACTTCAAGTCATATAGTAAAGCGCCTGGTCTATTACATCTCAATACAAATACATCAGTTTAAGCAATGTAATCTATGATCTGATAGATAGAAGTTCAGGTGTGGAGATGATGAACTCTTGCTGCATGCTTCCGCAGGTCCTTCTCATCATGGAGTGGGAGGAGACAGAAGTTGCATTGATGGTCACTGAGGTGCGCAGACTGAAAGTGTCTCAAGACATCCCTGTACTTGGAATACTCTTTTTGACACTGGAAGCATGCTTCAGGCTTCTGCGCGGACCAGATATGCTTCTTGATGGCCCGGCACTTCACCTCCCATGCAGAGATGGATGGGCGCTCTTCCAGTTTGACCTTCTTCTCCAATCAGTCATTGTCATGGAGGGCATCAGGCGGCATTTTTTGCTTCGACCGCCCTCACAGAGGACCTCCCTTGAGAAAGTCACAGTATTGTCTCACAGCCTCCATGGCTTCATTGTGCTGTCGCCATTCATCTTCCAGAGAGTCTGATTTGGGCCAGGTGAGAAGTTTTTCCAGAAGAGAGATCTGTGCTGGGGGCATGTTGTATTTCTTCTGCAGCACCTGCTGAGCAGTCTTATCAACTGCTGATCCAGACAGCTGCTGCTTAATATCAATCACTGCCTGCTTTTCACTCCACTCCCTGCGCATGGTGTGTCTTATTTGGTAGCATGCTCTCTGCTGTGCTCTTTTGACTTTCTGCTGCCACCACTTTAACTTGGGAAGCAACTTCTGATTCTCTTTGCTCAAAGCAGTGAAGTGATCCTGACTTCTGATGGCTGCTTGTAGCTCCCAGTCCTGTTCCACAGCCTCTCTCTCCACATCACCCAGATAGCAAGGGTGCTGTTTGTCCATTGAGCAGCTCATCCAGCGCATTGTCTTAGCTAACTCCACATCCAGGTCCAGGCCACATATAATTTCTTGCATGCCATTATGGTGCTGGGTGTGATAGTACTTGATAAATGTGCTGCTGGTTGCATGGTTCATGATGACATTCTGCTGAGCTTCACTGACAAATCCTGGTGATTGCTTCATGTCAGCATTTCCTGCAACAAACAGACATGGCATGATGACTGCAAGGAAGGGAATATATCTTACCACTCTCATCAAGTATCTTGCCACTGCTGTACTGGAACTGATGGGAGTAGAACAGATTGAGCCACCCATGGATTTCACTCATTGTCTTTAGCTGAGAATCCAGCGCGCCAGCAGTCATTGGTGTATGTTGCTGAAGGTGAACCTGCCCGTCCACAACATCCACCTTGCAGAACAGATAATAATCGCGCACTTCAGGTTTCAATGGCAATGGCAGCTCCTGGCAACCATTCTTGGGATGTAGCCGCTGGATATCCGCCATCGACCTAATATCATCCTGAAATGCATTGGCATGAAACAGCATGCCAGCTGAAGACTAGGGACATGCTGAAGATGATCTCTGGAAGAGGAAATGTGTTGCTGGTTCCAACTGTTAGCATTGTGCCAAGTGGTCACCAGGGCCAATATACAATGATATGGGGGTTGATTCTCATACAGCTTCTTCATTCCAAGCTTCTTCTTGATGCATTTCGGCTTGAAGTTGACATTTAGGATTGGCGGCCCTCCATGTGGGTTTTGCTGCACCAACAATTTGAGGTCCTTGTACTGGAGGTGGAGAAGTGCCTTTTCACAGTTCACAGTGAAGGTGCTCAGCATGTTGTAGAGGCATAGAAATAGGCACTCCAGTCCCAGGTGGAATCACTTTTCCTGTGTCTCAACTATGGTCTCATTGAAGGGGATCATATCCTCAATGTAGACTGGTGTGTTCTCACGCACCTGATCTGTAAGGCGATACTTGTTGGCCAGATGTTGCATGCCCTACATGCAGAGATATCAATCCTAAGTGTGTCAAACATAGAGGGTGTCATAGGAACATACTTGGTGAATTTTTTCGCTCATCTCTTCACTGATTGAGTTCTTAGTTATCTTCTTGTAGTGGATTGAAAAGTACTTCCAGTCAGCCTGCAATGCACCCTCTGTGTGGATGCCTTTGAGTTTGCGGCCGTCCTCCCCATGTTCCAGTTTCCCCAGGCACCAGTTGAAGAACTGGTGCACATCATTTGCAGATATCTGTTGCATGGCTTGTTCTGGATCACTCCATCTGGGATTGGTGCCAGGCTTTGATGCCCGTGTCATGCAGTAGCTTTCTGATGTTAGTGCCAGAAACAACATCCTGATGACAGTAGATTCGGCTATTTCACAGGACGCACTGCTGCCAACGATTTTCCTGCCACTTCTTGTGTTTCTTGGTTTCATTAGACCCACCATAATCTGAGGCAACATCTGACAGATCCTCATCCATGTCATCAGATGGGTTCTTGTAGTGGTCCTGCAGGAGGTTCAGATTGATTGAATTGTCTATAATGTGTGCCGCCAATGTTGTTAGTGTGGAATTGCAACCCAGTAGCTGTGCTTGCGGTTGTCTTACACCTGCTTTGAACAAGAGAGGAGTCCACATCCTGGTCAGTCAGCTCAGTCTTGGACCTGCTGTGAGACCTTGTCTCCATGCAGAATGACATGTCTGTTGTATCATCATCACTGGAGGTAACCCAGCAAGGCCGCCGGCGGGCGGTCATCATTGTCAAATTCACAAGTGTGCCACGGGGGTTGGCCGGGAGCTAGTGCTGGGATAATGAAGGAGGCAGGAACAAGCTGGTAGGAGCAATGACAGCACAATATGGAATGGATGGGGCCCACTGGGTGCGGAGATTGAACTGTGGAACAAGAGAGAGGGAACGGAACAAGGGTATATTGTGTGAATTCCTTTTTGCTTGGAAAGAACAAAGGTAACCTGTGTGGGTTGACAGGGCTTATGTAGCCGAGTCATTGTTGCTGGCAGGTGAGCAGGGCAATATATGTGTGGGGTGACTGGGTGTGGGTGACTGAAGCACTGAATGTTAGAAGGGAGCTGTTTTTGGGTGGTCTTGCGCGTGAAATCTGTGGCCCTGGTCAACAGCAAGACGCTCATCCATCGCGCGATACACAGGTGATCATGTGGGCGCGCTCGTTGGTGCGTGGCTGCTGGGTGGGGGTGGCTGTGGGCCGAAGGCCTTGCGTCGGCGCGTCGCTTTTTGACACCAAGAACCAGCTGAAACAGCTGCGCCAACGCAAATCAAAATTGTTTAAGAGTACAACAACCCAGCAGTCATACCCAGAAAAGGGAGTTTCAACCATCATCCATCAAAGTCCGTGATGTTCAACGCGAGTGAAGAGGCCCAATATATCAAATCCTCTGATGACAATAATGACCTACTTTGCGGCCTGTTAGTATGTGCTGGCCTTCCAACAATGTGAGCGTACCTGAGTTGTGATTCTCATGTGGCTGACCCCGTGGCTCTGCTGGGAGCCACAAGACATGTCGCGGTGCCATTAATGGTTTACCTAAGGGTCTCAAATTTTCACATGATTTAGTTGTTTTTCCTTGTCAAGTTATCCGGATTGTTGCCTAAATCACAAGTCAACAGATTGAATGAAGAGCTCCTTCATGATGCTCTCAATAACTGCATCAAAACTTCTGAGTTAACCAAGATGTCTGAAGAATTCCTTCAATCCTGCTATGAACACCTTAGTGTTCCGCTTGCCATCCAGCCCAAGAAGTCCAAATCCATCAAAGGCTCAATCACCACCCCCAACCCAGCGTCAGACAGCTCCGACAGAAGGAACAAAAGTTGGGAATGGGGAAACAAGCAACTTGCAGTGGTCTTGTCTCCGCCACAACCACCTCCAGTCAAACATCAAACACGGGCACGCAAGAGAAAGTCAGCTGAAGGAGGCGGGCAACACCCAAAGACCACCTGTGAACAAAAGAAAAGGTCTCTTCAGTGCTCAGCCCTGACACATTCCTTCGGTGCGTGCAAAAATCGGGCCACTATTGTACCAGCGTCCCACGGACTCCCGATCTGCTGGATTCACCGAAAACTCGGACAGACTGTAGCCTCTTGTCAGGCAGCGCTTGGAGGCAACCGCAAATGCCTCAAAAAGATTCCCTGGTCCGAAAGACGACAACTCTGTTCCGAACACGCAGATTTTCCACTGCCATGCTACATACTGCGTCTACCGACTGAACTTCGTCAGCAGATCTTTTCATATATTCTTGATGACTATCAGAGCCAATATGTTCAATTCTACACATATTACAGTTTTCTGAAAATGGCGCGACTGAATCGTCAAATCTTCAAGGAAGCAAGTGATATACTCTACCGAAACTTTGTATGCAAGATCTATTTACACCATGAAGGAATATACATCTTGCAAAGAAAATGCCTCTCAGTGCAACCTGGTTCCTGGCAGCGTTTCAAACAATTCCGTTTCACGATGGATATATATAGGCATGGAAAGCACGACGAAACCCTCAGCAACGCTAGGCTTATTGCAGCACAACTCCATGGTGCCAATATTAAGCTCCATATTTCAGTTGCATCATTCGGCAGTCACCTTCTAGACATTCATAACACTTATAACGTCTTACCCTTGTACTTGGATGCATTTCAGCATTTACGGAGAGTGCAGGAAGCCCGAGTGACAATACATCCCGATCCTTCTGTGAAATTGAAGGAAATCGAAGAGCGGGCGGGATTGTCAGAGGAGACCATGGCCATTTCATTGAGGTGGAGAAGACTCTACAAAGAATGGATTGAAGTGCTGGAGGGCTTCTGAACTCTTCGATTACAGTTGAGGTTGATAGGTGGAGCTGCCATTGGTAGCTTTGTCGAGAAAGGTGTGAGGGGAGACCAGTGCCAGGGTGTACAGATTTTGGACTCAATTAACTACCTGTTTCTGGATCTCAGACAACAATTCCCACTACCCTAATACATTTCCAACAAATCCAACCCTCCAAAGTCTCGCAAATCTTCTAATGTCATCTCGACAGACACTTCATATCCGCTGGATACCTTTTTCACTGTTCGCCCAGAGGACAGGATTCCAATGAAGCCGTCGGGGCTCACCGCCTTATCCAGTCTGATCAGACCATCTAGAAGCTGTCAGAAATGCATTGCTTTGGGGTTGAACGGGAATGGATGACTTGCCCGAAGTTCCCAGTCCACAATAGGGTGGCGCCAACTTGTCATTCTTGGTGTCCATTCTGTCTTCTACTCGATACTTCTCCTTTCTGTTTCTCCTCGATACAAGTCTGGCTATCTTCGCTCGGGAGACCAGCAAGATAATGTACTCCATCTTCAAGTACGGTTTTACAATCCCGCCCAATCCAAGATAAGAAGGGACCTGCTTCATAGCACTGACTTCCATCTCCTGGCCCAACTCCACTTTAATCAAAGGAAGACCTTCAACCTGTGAAATTTCCGCAATCGGGTCTAATCGGCCTGGATGATGATCGCAAGGTTCAGGAGACAATGTGTATTCTGAGTGGTCGCTCATGGTGCTGATGACGAAAACTGTGTCACCGGACAATAACTGTGAAGTGGGTAGAGACAATTTCACTGACGCAGGTTCCACCGAAGCCGTGTCATGCTTTGTGTGTCTGCGCCGCTCCTTCTTCTCCTTGACCTCCGCGGGATTGTAAAACCGGAACGGGTCTATTTCTGTCAAGAGATTGTTTGCTGAGGAATTATCAATGGAGAGAACAGGTGAGGCAGCAGGAGGTTGCAGGCCTTTATAGATGGGAAATTCCCAGAAAAAGTCATCATGCATTGAGTTACTGTAAAGTGGCATTGATGCAAGATGCAAAAGCCAGGATTGTGATTCAGACAGGGAACTGCCCAAAACAGCAATTGCACCAGACTGTAATGGTCTGGGGCAGAGCAGCGCAGCGAACTCAGTGACTAGACAATGGATTACCACAAAAGGCAAGGGAACATCAGCAAAAGCCAGGGATTTTGTCCCGCTTGCATGTCTTGCTCAATACCATAGTTGCGCCTGATTCAAATGTTGTTGGTGCAATGGCGCAGTGTAAGTTCCAGCAATTGCCTGGCTGCCAGTGCTAACACCTTCTGTACTTGCTAAGCATGCATTTGCTCTCAAGTGGAACTCGGTGTTTATCTCCTGCACATCGTGTGTACAATCTCCGCGGAGTGCACGGCTCTGAATCGCCCTAGAATCCCTGACACGGACCATCCAACAGCGCGTGAAGCGGTGCACAGCGGCCAATATTCCAACCGGCACGAAACCATTGTGCTGTGTAAGCCATTACTGGTTGGACAAGTTTCACACATTAAGCTGAACATGAAGCAAAGCTTGCTTGACGGGAACCTGCTGGGGAACATTGCTGACAATTTCCGGGGCTGGAGCACCTTGGAGTTTTCCGCATCTTCGCCACTGCGGGATTTTTGTCATTGGGTGAAAGTGTTTGAGGTCGTATTCATAGGAGCGCGCACCAACATGGCTCTGGGGTGCTTCCCTCAAGCAGTTCTTGTTGGTCAAGAGAACTTCGTCTGAGGGCTAGTTGTGCCAGACCGTGAGCCAAGGCAAATGGGCATGGTGATGATCTTGAGGGCCCGCGAATGAGATTTTGACAGGTGTCCTGGGGGCAGGAGAGGGATCATGGACTACGTCAGATCAGCCCGCGTTGCCGGGGACACGTGCGAAAGTACATCGCCCAAGAAGGTCGGAACCAGACCAGGGATATTGGAAATGGATACCAGAATCGTCGGGGCAGAGCACGCCAGAGGGGGAAGGATGGTGCAGGACCCAGATCCAGTGATGTAAGGGGGCCCTGGGAGGGGTGAGAGGAAGGACAAAGGGGCAGAGGGTGTGAAAAAGCCCAAGCATGCAGCGACACCTGAAGGCACGCGTAGAGTGCTAGAAGGGTAGAAGTGACAAACAGGTGAGCACCGGTGGAGGCGTGGGTGAAGGTAGGTGAAGGAGCAAGGAGGATGAAAGATCGAAAAACAGAGGGATTACAGCGCTGTATTTATACGCGACGGGCGGCGAGGGCAGGGCGGCGGCAGGGCGCTAGACTGGATCAGGGGCTGCCTGACTGAGGCGCTTTGATGGAGGACTCATATGCTTGTCATTCACTAAGCTACCTAAAGGGGAATCTCGGCTCCATACCAGAAAAAGGAGCTTTTCTGTTAGGTAATCCAACTAGCACCTCGCTCACGTGACCCACATAGGTTAGCCGAGATTCCCTTTTAGGTAGCTTAGTGAATGACAAGCATATGAGTCCTCCATCAAAGTCCTCCGCTGTCTGCATGCATCTCCCAAGTTCTCACTAACCACCACCCCTTTAGGGATTGATTATTCAGCTGTATAAAGAGAGACTACGTCCAGAAAATGGACCTTATCACTCAACACAGAATAAAGAAGGAGGCGCAAGGATTTATTGCCTCCATTGATCAATCTGCTGTCTGCGAGCTAGCAACACCATTCCATCCGGCGAAGAAGCGCCTGTCGAATATTTGGTGAAGTGAAGAAAGGCGGGTTCAATGTCTGCTTTCCAGTCGAATTTACAGATTCACCGGGTGAGAGATGGATGGTCTGAATCCCGATTCTGCCGCGCTTGGCTTTTCCAGAGGAAAAGCTACGCGGTGAAATTGCTACAGTTTGTCAGGCTGTCCTTTTATCTGTCAATGCAGTTTTAAATATGCACCTAGACATTTCTTGTGGCTCACATAAACCAACCATAGATTCATCGCGGAAAAATCTACAATATGTATCCCCTGCTTACATGGGTATTCAATTAAACAAGACAATCCACTTGGCCTCCCATTTATGCTGCTGGATTATGTGGAAGGAAGGTCCCTCTTCACTGTGGAAGTTTAAAAGCTTCCAGATCACGAACAGTGCGAATTTTTCAGCAAACTTGGTGATATCTATATCCAGCTGTTCCAGCACCAGTTTGACTGGATTGGCACTCTGACCTTGGATGCGGATGACGAGCATTGGATTTTTGATCACAATCAACCACTTTCAGTTATTAATGAACAACCAGACCCTTGCAGTAATTGAGCCATGCCACTGGATAGCACCTAGTCAAACATTTCATTCAACAATAGATTATGCCTATACAATGCACCAGGCTTTGCTTGATGACTTTTATCAGCAGAGAGACAGTATTATAGGCAAAGATGATGCCTGCTCATACATCTACAGCTTGCACAAACTCCATCAATTTTTGATGGAGTGGGTAAAGCCTGAATACAACTATGACCCATTCATTTTGATGCATGGTGATCTACAGTCTGCTAACATACTTGTTGATGATAACCTAAATATTGTCTCTGTGTTGGACTGGGAGTGGAGCTACACCATCCCTGTACAGATGTTTATTCCTCTCTCCTGGCTTGATGGCCTTGAGTTGGTAGGAAACGCAAAAATGCCCCACTGACTGCTCTATAAAAGCACACTGTTTACTTTGGAAATGGGAACAAGACAATGTGAGAGTGAATATCATCCAGAGTGTTGGTATCTTGACAACCTCCCATTGGCCAAAATATGGAGGAAAATCCTCCGATCTTCTGACCTTTTTATTGCACACGGCCTCTTGCAACCCCTTTACCTTGGTAACCTGTACTGGTCTGTGCTTGAATATGATTATTATGGGAATGACCAAATTCATTTTGAAAAGAGAATGAATGATTTCTTCAGCCTAGAGATACACAAGCCAGAGTTGGAAGCAGTACAGCAGAAACTTTAGGAACTTGAAGGGTTTGAAGTAGAATGTGATATGCTTGGAATTGAAAGAGAGAGACAAGAGACTGAAAAGAGTGGGAACAACCATTCAAACAATACCCTTGGGAAACCAAATGCTGATTCACCTGCATCTTTGCATTGTCTGAGAACTAGCCTCAAAAGCCTTGTACTGAAACTCCCATGGCTAACCCAAACAATGACACATTAGCACTGGGCATTTATCAGGACCACGCTCATTGCAGCTTGCTGTGTCATTATCATATGTCAGTGAAAGTGATCGAGCGTATTTGTTCAAGGCTGCAAAAGCTGAATGGAGGATTTGATTGCAACAATTCGATCAGTAGTATTGATAAAATCTTTCTGGTGCTGAGCTATCTCTTCATCAATTGTGAGTGTTGTCACGCCTGTGCGGGCGCCCCGCGCGTTGCGGGCGCTTGTTGAAAGCTATTCTAACTCCTCGCGGTGCAGGTTGAGATCGTTTATGAAGCTATTAAGTTGGGCTAGACGTGCTTTGAGTTGTTCGAGTTCCATTTTCTTCGCCTCCGGCTCAGCAATGATGTCTTGACCAGGCCTTCATCCCTAAGCATGTGGAGGTATCTGGAGTTCCTTAATCATTCTCTTGACCTCTGAAGTTTCTCGCCGTCCTTCCTCGTCAAACCCTCCCACTTCCATCTTAGATACGGCATCACAAACAAATTCATAACCGGCGAAAGCAACGCATCAAACACGCCCCAACCTCTCTTGGGCGACGGCCCCTGCATATTAGCAAACAAGACAGACGCCGCCATCGAGTCCTCGCAGATAATAAAGTCGCCTCTGTCAACTGCATGGATGATCAGACTCGCGACCTTGTCCGATGACGGGAACTTGGCCTTGAGCTGCTCGATCGGGTGGTTCAGCCCCTGAATTGTCTTGTTAAGGGCTACTTTCGTTTGCTGCTCCTTCATGAAGCCTGGCGAGACGAAGTCGCCTGGGAACGCGATGTGGATTGAGTAGGTTGATGCCGCGCAGTCGTTGCGGAGCAGTTCTATCCGGAGTGTGTCCGCCAGGGCACGCACGGCGCACTTGGCCGCTGCGAGGCAACACGGCTGCCTATCAGTTTACGCCGTCTCCCATCTATCATGACAACAAAGACTGCGACTTACTTGTGTAGGCAATTGAGCCCGGTAACCCTAAGAATGCAGCAGCACTGTTGATGAAGATGATCCGCCGGTGCCTCTGGCGGGTTGGTTTGCGTACTGATGCATCATCGGCGATCCAGATATCCAGCATGGATTTTGCGGCGTATGCGGCGGAATAGTAGTTATTCCGCATGCAATCTTCGAGGTCCTTTGCAGTGATATCAACAAAGAAGCCGTTTTGGCCATGGTTGCCACCGGCCACACAGTACAAAATATCTGCGGGCCGAGGCTGCCTCTTGAATGCCTCATCGACCTAGGGAAAGCAGATCAGTTGATCTACATTCCAGAGGTAATTAGCATCTGGATCGGGAAAAAGGCGATTACCATCTGGGCATCACCCATGTTGATAGTGACGGTGTTGATATCTTGGTTTCTGTTCGGACATGTCGCAAGGATTTCCTCCTTCGTTTCCTCTAGTGGAGCCGAACGGCGGGAGAAAAGGGTAATGTGAGCACCTGGCTATTATCAGTACAGAAGAGGGGTTCAAGTGGACGAATTGGTAACCCACCACGCGCGGCCAGCTGTTTGGAGATGGCTTTTCCCAATCCCCCAGACCCCCCAGTCACGAACACGGTCTGCTCATGATAATCGTGTTTGTATAAAGTCTCCAAGCAGAACACCTAGGATCAAGATATGGTCTCCTACCTTGCCAATCAGATCTTGTTTCATTTTCTTTCTCGCGTCAACTTTAACGGTTTCGGTCGCTTCCTGGTGACGGGCAAACTGGATGTGCTGGGAGAGATTCACGAGAGTTATTCTTCACCCGGGGAATGAACAGCTGCTTTCAGGCTGGACGGGTCTTTATTCCGTTATCGTCCAAAGTTTCCATCCAGCGCAAGCTACTCCACGGTAGGTGGTGGTGTCAGCGAGAACGGCCCCCGACCCGCCGCCACGGGTCCCGCGCCCGGAGTTGCAGTGTGCTGCACCCATATATGCCTACGTTTTGTTCTTATTTTCCTTAATCCAAAGTTTTTTAGATACATAATTTCAATCTAGCTCTGAGAAGAGTATATTGTGTGCCGCCAGGCATGGCGAGATCCGTGCCGTTCCCAACGGGGATGTTCAGCTGCACGAGGGGGAACAATGCCACGTCTTCGTCTTTTTGCAAGGTTGCGCCGCATTCGGGTTCGCAGACCCCATGATACCCAAACCTCTATTAGCAGTAGAAAAGCAGCAAAACAAAAAAAGAAAAAAAAAAAAAATACAATCCAGACACAGAGAACAAAGGAAAGGGGGAAAAAATGCTGTTGACTGCCTCTAGGTACCTGGACAAGCAGCTAAACAACTCCTCGTCAATGGATAGGACCTTAGGGATTGGCGCAAAAGTGCGGGTTGTTTGGACCTTTCTCTGCAGGGAAGACAGTTCCAGCCAATCCAACCAGCATGCCCCCCTGTGAGCAAACAACCGAGCCGACACAGAAAACACCACCGGGCAACTTATGGGTCATCCTGCTTGGATCGCATGCAGGTACCAGGATGTATAATTATCGAGGCATTTAACTAACTAACCCAGTGATGCACAGGCCACATCAACAGAGATCTGGAAGAATAAATGGCCCGATCCTGGAGTGAAACAAAAGGGGGTATTTCCAGATGCAACGCAGAAAATCTATTCAAGCTTTCGCAACTGCTCTTATTTGGCTCCTGCTCAGTCCCACAGGGCATTTTTCTGCCCACATGCTAAGGCGCCAAGGGCGTCCAAACTTCGCCCTCTCGCGGCTGATCGACTGATTGCCAGGCCTCCCCAGCTCCACAACGCCCACAAATCAACCCGCACGCTTGCTTGAGTAGTAATCACTCCGTCAGATTGAGGAAACTAGTTGATGTGCTCGGAGACTCGAGCTCCCATACTACAATGGGCCATTCAAAGGCCAACGCCAGTCCAGGTGCCGATATATCTCCAGCTGCCAATCTAAAAGAACCGGACTTGGAAGAATACTTTGAAAAAGCTGAGGATGTTGAAATAGTGACGGAGACTGTGGAGTGACACTCTCCCGAAGAGCCAAATGGGGTGGACAATACTGAACCGACGCCAAAAAAGTCACTGTCCTGTAAACTTGCCTTCATAGGGCTTGCGGCGATCCTTTTTGTTCTTCAGGTGGATGCAACTTGCCTGGGGATTGCCCTTCCAGTGAGCCATAACATTCTTCCTGATCTATATGCCACTCATGTCGAATCCTGATGCCCATAGATAGACAATAGCTGGTGAACTGAAGGGCACGAGTCTAGAGTCATTCTGGGCAAGCCTGGCCTACACCTTATGTGGTCTGGCAATGCAACTGGTTTGGGCCAGTATCTCCAACGCGTTCGGTCGAAAGCCCCCTCTCTATGTATCCATAGCATTGTTCTTTATCGGTTCCATCATTTTTGCTGTTGCACAAAATATGAGCACCATTATTGCTGGACGGGTCCTTCAAGGCCTCGGTGGTGGAGGAATTGACGTTCTGGTTCAGGTGATTCTTGCGGATATGACGACACTGGAGGAACGTTCAAAATATCTTGGCTTGATGTCCATTCCTACCGCCATTGGCATTATCATGGGGCCCATTATTGGCGCGCTTTTTGCTACATATGCTACCTGGAGATGGATTGGATGGGTCAACCTGCCATTTCTAGGAATCGGGACACCTTTGGTGTTCTTCTTCCTCAAGCTTCGACCCGTCCCGCTCGATGCTACGCTCTCCAGGAACTTGAACCGCCTCGACTGGATTGGTATGGCGCTCGTTGTTGTTGGAATCACGATTTTTGTTGTACCACTCAGTTGGGCGGGCTCTTTATTTCCATGGGTCTCCTGGCAAACTCTCCTTCCAATGTTCTTGGGAGTTGCAGTGCTTGTTGTCTTTATCCTCTACGAGGCAAGGCCTGCGGCACCCATCATTCCCCATCGACTCTTCCACTCAAAGACCGGAAATGTGATGCTGGTAGGAGGCTTCATCCATGGCATGGTTCTGGTCTCCCTTTTACAATACTTGCCCTTGCTCTACCAAGCCGTGGAGCTCGAGACCGCAATCTTATCTGCTGTCTCCCTGCTGCCCACTGTCGTTGTCAGTGTGGTATTCGCGGCCATCTCAATGATGATGGTCCCCTTTTTCGGAGGATATGTATGGCTTCTACAACTTTCATGGGCCATCCTTACGCTGGGAACCGGCTTGTTGGCCCTCTTTGATGTGGGGTCCTCGTCAGCCATGCTGTACGGGCTTCCAATTCTCTGGGGGCAGGGCGTTGTGTTACTATGTCTCAATATTCTCCCCATGCAAGCGAGTGTCAAGAATGTCGACGACACAGGCTCAGCTATCGGGCAGTTTCTCACCATTCGCATGTTTGGAGGTCTTATCGGCCTCACAATCTCTTCAGCAATTTTCAACAATGTTTTCGCAAAGTCAATCTCTGATACTACAGTCCAGTTGACGGGAGCCTTAGTACCTCTGAAAGATGTCTCCAATGCTGTGAACTTCATTGACAAGTTGAGATCATTAGAAGTCTCTCTTACAACACTGCATCAGGTTTTGAGAGTCTATCTGAAGTGCTTCCAGACGATTTTTTATACAATGACCGGCCTGAGTGGACTGGGATTGATGACTTCAGTGTTCCTGGATGACATTGAGCTGAAGGGGCAGAACCTTGGGAGTCAGCGCTTTGAGGAATAGTCAAAGAGAGGGAAGGATAGCCCCTCATGTTGATATTTACATGTAAATGAATGGATATAAAAGAATCTTTGCTAATACCATGCAAAACTCACTGATTTCATACTCCTTCTAGTTACCTCATCATTAGAATTGTAAATGTCCATTTATTCCCAAAGATATTTTGGAGATAGTAAGTGCAATTGGCTTAAAATATTTAATTCGTAACTTGCTTATGTTGTCATGGTGCCATGATGGCCTGCGGGCTGCAAGAACAAATCCCATGTTTGTAAGGAGTGGATATCGGCCGCCTCCAGAAAATGGTCCAATTCTCTTGTGGCCTCAGCAAAACTCCAGGTGAAAGGGGCTTTGCATCAAATAGCATTGCGGTCTCGAGTCAACCTCGCGATCGGAACCCGCAAGACCAAAGGTTACGCTAGACGGGATCCGAGATTAACCACCCAGGGTCTTTCTAATGAAAGGTCTGGAACTTTGACAATCATCATGAGATAAAATCGGGATAGAATGTAAATGATACTGTGCCTTTATTGATCCATAAAGTTTTCACTTCCATTGAAGGAACTTGGTTATCCTGACTCTCCTCTCAACTCTTATCTATTTCCGCCGCTAACGTATCATCGGGTAATTTTCAAAGTCTCACCCATGTGGCGAGTTCCCACGGATATTCCCCAAGTCGCTGTCCCCAATGGGCTTAAACTTGCGGAAGTGACAATGGACACACCGTTGGATGAAGTATTCAAGCATTGGAAGGAAAGCGGCGCAGTCATCCTGAAAAATATACTTACCCCAGCGGAAGCGAGCCAGATCACGACCGAACTGGAATCGCGCCTCGACTCTATCCAAAGAGGCTCATTAGTTCCCCATCCCGACCTCTCAGCCTTCCACGGCCCCAAAACCAAGCGAGCGGGTGATCTTATTAACCACAGCGCCACCTTCCGAGAGCAGATTCTTGAAAATGACTTTATTCACGCCATCTGCAAGCGATGCTTCAGCGAAGGCGGGCATAATGGAGACTACTGGCTCTCAACAGCCTCGACTCTCAATGCGCCAGGACCACAGCCGCCGCAGGTGTTGCATCGCGATTTGACGTCCTATCCACCATACTCCCAGCTCGGACCCGAGGGCACAGAGGCTAAGATCAGCTTCCTCTTTGCGTTTTCCGACTTTAGGGAAGACAACGGCGCAACGCGAATCATCCCGGGAAGCAACAAATGGCCCTTCCACCAGCGCGGCAATATGAAGCAGATGATCCCAGCGGAAATGAAAAAGGGCGACTGTCTGCTAATTGGTGGGAAGGTGATCCACGGAATGGGCGAGAACAAAACCGAGACAGAGAGGAAATGTATCCAGCTGACCGTTGTTCCGAGTTTCCTGACTCCCTCGGAAGCGCAACCTTTCATTATCAAATTGGAGACGGTAAAGAAGTTGTCGAAGCGCGCGCAGCGGTTCGTAGGGTTCAGGTCGCAGTATCCTCGGGGCTCGCCGGGACTGTGGACGAAGGATTACATTGATCTGGCGTTGCATTTGGGGCTGGATGATTTTCAGGGTACGATGAAAGATTTGCAGCATGTGATTGACCAGCCCAAGCAGTGGGATACGATCGATTATGACAATTTGGAGACCGAGAAGTCAGCCGATATCTCACGCTGAAATGGAGTCACGCTCCACAAGTCCTGTTGAGCCTTTCTTTCTCAGACAATTCTCTCCTATGTCAAAGTTCTTCCTTCCTGCTCATCCCTTTCTGCACATTCTTGTAGACATATTTTGCGAATTTGGCCTTTGACCATTGTCAAAACAATATCTTCGTAACATGCCTCTACAATTGAATTGGCCACCCTAAACCGCCCAAAAGTCATGCAGACCATGGATATGGGCAACGGTTCTGGCCCAGGCACTCGCGTGAAGTTCAGGAAGGTTGCCACATTAATTGAGAGGATGTATGTAGGTAAGCCATTGGGGGTGTGTTGAAAAATCAGGAGATTGCCTCACTTCAAGCCTCGATCGAGCACATTAAGACAACAAAATGGCGCAAAATTCTCAGTGTAAATGTGAGATTTATGCAATTTAAATATGTACTGGCCAGCGGAGAGGATCATGCTACTATAGTAGCCAAACAGCAGGATAATGAGGTTGTTGAAGATGAGGAGGAAGAAGTTGAAAAACACTCCATAATCAGGTTCTGGCAGAGCAGTTGGCATTAAGTTAACCAACTAACAAACTTACTACTAACTAGCGGTTAGATGGTTTAGTGTGGGTCAGGTGATCACCCAGGTTGCTGCCTGGTTACCACCAAGCCGCCAAATAACCTGTTTGGACCAGGGAAGGGTTGTGTTGGAGCATGGAAAACTGATCTTGGTTGTGCTTGCTACAAAAGTGGCTAGTGAGATCTCATCTCTTACAGTGAGATGGAGCTTTTGATGGAGGACTTGTATGCTTGTCATTTTCTAAGCTACCTAAAGGGAAATCTCGGCTAATCTATGTGGGTCACGTGAGCGAGGTGCTGGTTGGATTACCTAACAGCTTTGGCAGCGGAAAAAAGTCGGACCGCGAGCGATCACATGAGGTCACGTGCGCGCTAAGCCCAAAAGGGGTTAGGGTGCGCGAACGCTCCCACTCACTCTCAGGGCAACAGATTCACTAGCTAAGAGGAAGCTTCAAAACAAACAAGGCCATGGGATGCCCTTTGGCATAAATGACTGTATCATCACCCATATGAACCATGTTTGGTGTAGAGAAATGTTTGGTAATTTTGTAGAACATCCAGAGTGTTCACAAACAAATTTGTAGCACCAGTATCAAGAAGATAACTCAGGGAGTCTCTTACCAGACTTCTTCTGTTTATATATGATGCTTTTGCTGTGAGGGCAAAGTGGTCTTTGGAATCTTGATTGAGGTATTGAGAGGGGTTTGAGAAAGAATTTGACACAGGTGGTTGAGAAGAGTGGAATTGTTACAAACATAGACCTAGACCAACGAAGCATCGGACGACGTCGGATGTTCAGGGGTACTCACATGACCCCAACTCTGAACGTATAAGGAACGTATTGCAGTTACCTGCTGCCCCACCAAAATTTGGTGGGGTGGAAGGTATCTCCTATTATTCAATAAACAGCCTGGCTCCCACTTTTTTTTCAAATCAAATCTCTCCAAATTCAAAACATCAAATTTGCCCACCATGCCTTCCAGAGAAATCTCTCTCCATGATAAGCTTGTTACGCGAATTCAAGCTCTTGCTTTGATCTCTTATGGAATTCCTATCTTAGATGTTTCTCATAACCTCCAGATTCCTCTTTCTACCCTCTATGACATTCAAAAGCGAGCAAAAGACCGTGGCTTTGATCCCAAGAATGACCTTCGAATTTCTCTCAGTTATGTGGAAGATGCTCCTAGATCAGGCCGGCCGAAGGAAATAAGCACCAAAGAAGCTGGAATCATTGCCTCTGTGACTAAGAGCCGCTCCGGAAGGGAGAAATCTACTGAGATTCTGGCATTCGAAGCTGGTATATCCCATTCAAGTGTTTTGCGAATTCTTAAGAAACATGGCTTTGTTATTGCCAAACCAACTTGGAAACCAGGTCTAACTGAATCTGCAAGGAAAAAAAGGCTCAGATTCTGCCTTGCCCGTAAGGACTGGACCCTAGAGGACTGGAAAAATGTTGTCTGGACTGATGAAACTTCTGTGGTTCTTGGGCATAGAAGAGGAGCAGTTCGTGTATGGAGAAGACCCTCAGAAGCTTATGATCCTACCTGTATACACCGGTGATGGAAGAAGTCCTCAGATTTCATGTTTTGGGGCTGCTTTATGTACGAGAAGAAGGGACCCTGCCATATTTGGGAACCAGAGACTGCAGCAGCCAAACATCAAGGTCAAAAGGAACTGAATGCCTTGAATATTGACTGTGAGATAAAGGCAAGAGAGGAATGGGAGCTTGTCAATGGGATTCATCGCCTACGAATTCGCCCAAACTGTGGAAAAAAGCCAACTTTCAAATTCACTGTCAAAAATGGCAAGCTTGTTCGACGAGGCAAGGGGGGAGTTGATTGGTATAGGTATCAGAAGGTGTTAAGATTCTATCATCTTACTATTGAATTCTCTAGCTAATCTGATACTTCTTTCATTCTAGGACGTCCTTCTTGCCAAATTATTCCCTTTCGTCAAGGAGTGCCTTGAATCCCGACCCAATACTGTTGTCCTAGAAGATGGAGCTCCAGCACATACCCATTTCTACCAACAAGAGCTCTACAACATACACAAGATCAACTGCTTACTTTGGCCTGGCAATTCACCAGATTTGAATATGATTGAGCCTGCCTGGATGTGGCTCAAGCGACGTACAACTGCTAAAGGCGCCCCACAAGAATCTAAGACTGCTGAACATGAATGGAAGAAAGCCTGGGAAGAGCTGCCACAAGCAAAGATTCAACAGTGGGTAGAGCGGATTCCACATCATATTCAAGAGGTTATATGCTTTGAAGGGGGTAATGAGTATAGAGAGGGTGGTTATAAGGCGCCTCGCGTATGGAAGGGTCAACGGCAGGATCTTGGGGCGGATTCTTGGGCAGCTGGTCTAGAGACTTTGGAAGCTGCTGAAGCTCTAGCTGCTCTATATAATTTGGGTAGAGAGGATCCTTGGGAGGATACTGAAGATGAGGATTTGGAACAGGATTCAGATGAGAGTAACTAGTCAATTTCAGGGGAACTTGAGTTTCCTAGCAAATTTGGTGGGGTAGTAGGTATTTGTAAAACAGTATTGTCTGCATAAGCTTTCCGGGTTCCACACCTCCGTATGCGAGGACTGAATTCAAGGGCTTTTCGTGGCCGTAGAGAGGAGAGGGAGGAGGATCCGGAAGGATCGTCGTCACTTGTGTTTTCAATGATCTGCTGAACAGCAGCAGCCACGGCACATAATGTATGCCCTGTATGTGCTTCTGGCCATTTGTAAAATTTTCAGGACAGCCATTGAGCCACCCAAGAAACGGCGGTGAAGGTCTAACGTGGCCTT